CTGCTATACGTGGATCGATTTCTGCGGGCCAAACAGGGTGCCCGCTGGGCTCACTGTGTTCTTCAGCCAGGGCAGCAACCTGTTCGGGCACGGTGAAAAGACCCTCCAAGGAATACACCTCATGAGCTTGGGGCAAGTGGAGTTTCCCAGATGTCTTGGCGAATGGTATCAGCTGTTGTATCTCTGTACCCAAGGTCCAGCCCCCTTGGGCCACATGGATAGAGATACCGGAGGCTGTTAGGAAATCTCGACCAAGTATCACGTCGCGGCATAGGCCCGGCATATGGATGAAGCGTTGTTTTCGGCATCCACCGGACCAACGAATCCGGCACCTGATGGACTGGCTGGTGCTGGACCATCCCGTCGCCAACCGGAGGGAGTGGGCTTCCTCTCTGAGTCCTGCACCCGTCGCTCGGGCAGCAGCCACAGCTGGGTCTCCGAACAAACTGACGCTGGATCCTGTATCTAAGAGGGCGTGAAAAACCCTGTCTCCTATTGAGAGCTCCAGTAGGGGCTCCTTCCCTCCGGCTGTTGCTGCCACTTGTAGGGCAGTCTCGTAGACGCTGGCCGGGGCAGCCTCTACGTACGCCCGTTTCCCGGGCAGTTGGCCTGAAGATGTCCTCGCCGGCTGCAGCAGTAACAGCGGGGCTGGTTGCGTGATCTTCCTGTGGCGCAGTTCCGTGCCGCATGCCCCGTGCCTCCACAGCGCTGGCACTGCTGGTGCTCCATACTGGTGTGCGCCGAGGCCCACGGCTGGATCCACTGCGGTGTTGGTTGGGACGTGGGCTGGTATGGGGCCACGACTGTCGGTGCCTGGGACTGCTGGAAGGTCCACGGTGGTAGCTGGTGTGGTACGGGTGAGAAAGGGGCCGGGGCTGTGGCCAGCTGCTGAGTCTTGCAGTGGGATGCCTGCACTGCCGCTGGGTGCAGGGGCCACCATGGCTGGGGACCGATGCCGGCATTCTGTGTTGCTGGAGCTGGTGGGTGGCCCTGGGCCAGGGCGGCAGCGGCAGAAGAGGGGCCGACGCTGACACTCAGTGTGTAGCCGGGGTTTGAGGCGACTGAATGGTGCTCGACGAACGCGAGATCCCTGGCCACCTGGTCCGTTCTCGCTGGTGGCGGCACATACTTCAGCCGGTGCCACGCACGTTCCATAACGCCGCCCGCAGCCTTGGCCATTTCGCGCAGGTTCGCGAAGGTCATGCCCTCACACAAGTCCTGGAATTTGGGATGCATTTGCCTGCGGACCCTCGCAACCTTGTCCGCGTCCGACACGGTTTCGCCTATCCTGTCAAAATACTCCGCGATGACATGAATGAAGTGGCTCAGGTTCTCCTGCAGGTGCTGGGTCCGATGTTCGAGCTCCTCTTTTAACCGATGTTTGTAGTCGACGGAGGCGAACTCTGCATGGAACTCTCTGGTAAATGTGTCCCAGTCTTCAAAGCCGCCGGAGAACCGCCACCAAAGCTTGGCAGTGCCCTCCAATGCAGCGGGAAGCACCTGGCGAACGCGCTTGTCGCCTCCGATTCCCGCGACCAGGCAGAAATTTTGGAATTTCTCGAGGAACTCACTGGGGTTCTGGTGGTCTTCGTATCCGTTAAACTTTGGCAACTGGATATTTCCGCACTTCCACGGCGTCGGCTGCGCGGGATCCGTCGCCGGTTGCCGCACTTCCATCGGCGTGTTCAGGAGCAGGTCGCGGACGGTCGCTGCCATTCTTTCACGGTCTAGGGGAGTCCCGTCAGTCAGGCTGAGCAACTGCGCAGCCACGCTGGACGGGGTCGCTTGATCCATAGTGCGGGCGTGAGGGTGGGCACAAAGAACCCGAAGAGCTAAAGTGGCCAAACCGAGTAGCGGACTGTTTACGTCGGTTTCGCGCTTGTTGAAGGTCCGGGTCCGAAGGACGAGCCCCCACTTGTGACGTACCTCGTCACTGGTTGCTTCGGTCGTGTTCACACGCAAGACATCTCTCAAACACTTTATTCTTTCACGTACCCGCGCGCAGCGGTATCGCTCCTGTCGCTAAGCCTCCCGTTCCACCCGACGACCCCCTTCCTCCCTCCGCGTTGCCGCTCCCGCCCGCGGCCGCTGCGCCATCTTCCGGGGTCGGCCCGAAACGGTTACAGTGGTCGCCCATGCCATTCGAGAGGTGCGGCCCGTGATACGTGCATGCATATGTGCGCTTCCCCTAACAGTATTGAAAAAAGTTGCGCGCCGAGGAGGACATCGCAGGGAGACGACAGCTCGGAACCAAATTTTTCCTTTACGCGCGCGCTTGAGCCAATCAGCGAGCGCCTGGACATAACGTGTCGCCCATTTCTGGTCAGGAAATGTTTTCGCTGTTTTTATTTTCGATCCACAATGAAGGCGAAAAGGCAGAGGGGTCGGGGGATTCGTGCACTTGCAAAACATGGATGGAAGCATTTCAACGTGTAAAAAAGCAAGCCAATTGGAACATCTAACTGCGAGCAGTGTTTTCTGTGCATCTACGACAGCGTAAAACTATTCTTCATCGTTTGCGCGAAAGCTGCCACCGAAGTTCGCGGTATGTTCCAACCACCGACGGTGCGGGAGCGATCACTCCTAATGTGTTGTGTAGTCTTTGTGTGCACGCACCACTACAAAATACAACAGTTTTCTGTCAAAAACACTCTCGCACAAGCTGCGTGCAGTGTTAAAGGTACGCAGGCGAAGGCTCTGGGATGCGCCGGCGTAACACCGTGCTTTGTTTGCACAAAAACGTGACAAAAGAGCACCTGAAGCTGCCCGTTCGAGTCCGTGCCTTTCGCCAATGCTGCATATAACCGAAGTGTAAACGTATATATAATCATCGCCATTGTACATTTAGTGAAGACGGTTGTCTCCTACCGCATACGCAATCGCGAAGGTAAGGCCACAATCGTGTGAAGCAGACGAATGAAAAAATTCCGTGTTCTCTCGACAAATGCGAGATTCCCCGAGAAGACGCCGCCGTCGGGTGGCCCTGTGTGAAGCCTCATTCACACAGCCCTTTTTTCGCCCGGCCCGGCGAAAACGCCGGCCGTCCTTTTCGCCGGGGGAGAGGGTGTTGGGACCGGTTTCCGTCCGAAATCGGGCCGCTGGACCCGAAATGGGCCGAACGAGGATGTTCAAACTCCCCGGCACCGGCGGGAGACCGGGAACGCCGGCGCCCCGCCCCATCGAGGGACTGCCAATCACAAAATCGGAAACTTTCGCTAAATCTGGCGGATTCTCAAAAGTTGGGTGACCATGGGCATGGCCGCGGTAGGGGAAATTGACTGTACTGTGCCCTCACCGCCCTAACGAGTCGACGAAGTCAATAAAGCTCGTTTTGGGAAGGAGGGAGGCCAGCGAGACGACGGGCGCATTGTGTGATGTTTACGGCTCTTGAACAACGGGCATACAGAGATTTGGATTTACCGCTGAGCTGCTGCTCGATATGATGAGACCATATCGGTTCCTTTGCGATAGACGTAAACGCGATTTTAAGGAAGAACAGCCAGAGAAACAAAATACGGTCGTCGATCATCGGGGACGAAATGCGGCGCAAGGAGTGATTGATGTGAAACGTGCTCGCGGTGGGTCTTGTCGCTTTTGTTTCCAAACGTGGAGACAAATAAAATCAATGTTTTGAAACATGCAAGATCGTTATCGGCGACCCAAACGCAAGCTCCAAGGAACAAAACAGTTGCGGCTGCGCCCATCGACGCCGATAGTCCGCTACATTTGGTGGTCGACACCGCCACAAAGCAGCCACAAATACGGGATTACAAGATTGGTAGTAGAGATCGGGGGAAGGGAGAAATTGTGCACGAAATATTAGGTTATACCTGCTATACAGTTTCACGGAATACAAACGTTTGACGCGGAATTTGAAAGGTGCAGAAAGATTTCTAAGCTAGGTGGCGCAAGCTACCGCCCAATGTAAGGGGACACAGCCGCCAGCATCCATCTATTGCTATAGCCTGCGCCGGCAGCTTTGTCGCCGCTGGTTCGAACGCTCCTCTGTCGCCGCACCGTCCCGTTTTCGGCACGGCGCCCACGGCGCTTTCGCCGGAACGGGGCGAAACGCCGGCTGTGTGAATGAGGCCTGACTGATTCGTATTTTACAACGCTGGCGTCGACGTCGACGCGCGTTTTTTGCTCAGTGTGAATGCGCCTTCACCTAACTGCGGACAAATGGTGGCGCCTTGGACATTGTGATTCTAATGATGATGATAGCTGTTTTGAACGCCATATTGCTTCGAAACCGAAATTACGTCAAACTGCGTTAGATCGCACCTCATCGAAGCTCAAAATTGTTGGGACCCTCATATAGTACGAGCCGCAAATTTTACATGGCAAAATTAAAAAAAAAAAAAGAAAACTCGTATTATATGCGGGTTTTTACGGTACAAGCTTGGGAATAACCTTACGAGTTCAGCTTGATTTCTGTCTCGCGATTCGGGCCATTACTTTCTGCCAAATCATGGGGATGGGGCTATAAAAAAGCCTGTCCAAACTTTTCTTGTTGGCTGACATCACCCCTCATGAGCCGAAATAAAAATTAACACTCGCGTGCAGTTTGTTAATCATCCCACTTACACTCCCACATGTCGTGCTTACCTTTCCAGCATTTATGCATGCTGGACAGTTGCATGTGCTAGGTCAGAATGGGAAAATGTAGTGGCAGTGAGCAGCGCATTTGCAACTGAATATTTTGGAGCAGAGTAAACTTAATTTCCTAATGAAAACTTTATTGTGCACTAACAAACTGCACTTGCGGGCAGTTTGTTTATCACCCCAGTTACACTCCCACATGTCGTGCTCACCTTTCCAGCATTTATGCACGATGGACAGTTGCACATGCTTGGTCAGAATGGGAAAATGTAGTGGCAGTGAGCAGCGCATTTGCAACCGAATATTTTGGAGCAGAGTAAACTTAATTTCGTAATGAAAAATTTATTGTGCACTAACGCACAGTACACCGTCACCTTCTAACCCACTTGAAACGCCTCCAGAACTGCGACCTCTCCGGCAGCGATCTCCACGAGGCCAACTTGAGGGGAGCCAACCTGAAGGATGCCACCATGGAGCTGATGCTCACTCCCCTACACATGGCACAGGCCATACGATGATGAATCAGCAGTTTTTGTTAATCAAGGTGCCGCCGCCGAAACTCGCCACGTCCTGAAAAAAGAGATGACGCAATCCTCCCGGGGAAGAAACACGACACTGAAGTCATTTCCACAGTGGCCCACGCCTGGAGACATCCTTTTTGTTTGTCTTGCCATTGTGTGTGAGTGTTACGTTTGATGAAGCACATTGTACCCGGTGCAGAGTTGTCGTGCGGCGCGCTGCGGAGAGCTTTGAGCAGCCTCGGACATTAAGTTGCCGTCGTTCCAAGCTCCAGGGTCAGACGGAGCAAGCTGCTTCGACGTTTAAGTTTCCAAGCTGGGTTAAGCGTGCAATCTTTTGTTGTAACGCTTTGCAAACAAGTGTGCACCGCACGAGCGTGAGCTGGAGGCATGCCGAACAATCAACTTCAGGTCAGTTGTGTCATATCGATCATTGTCACAAGTGACCCGTTACCCAATGCGACTGCTCACGTCAAGTAGAGCCTCGTTTACAAATTAGAGATTCGTATGCACCGTATCAAATCACCTTGTGAATCCCGGTGTTTATTTCCCTGTGTAGGGTATGCTGCAAAGGGGCTGTACGCACTATTCGATTGGAAGTCTTTAGTGCATTTGCTTCAACATTTATTTATATAAGCGAATTTGTGTAGTTAAGAATATACTAGCTTAGGACGGCTGTACCATGGAATGGAAATGTCCAGTGGTGATAGAACCGGTTTACGTATCCTACTAACAAGGTGTTTTAACCGACTCAGTAGGGAGTGTGGTCTGACCCACTTGGCTTAGTGTAGTTTTTTGAGTGCTCCCAAACTTGGTCTTGACATAATTGATGAAAATATGTTGGCTGTTTGCCTCACACATCTGATACTGTTTGTTTTTGGAACCATTAAAAACCTGTTAATTTAAAACATCTCTGACTCTCGACTTTTATTTCACGTCTGCATGTGAAAGCATGTGAAAAGTCTTCGACTGGCCCCTCTTCCTTTTGTATGGAACATAGGCAATTTTTATAGCTTTTTATTGTTGCTTGTAACTTGGCTGACCGTCAGGATTAGAGGCCTCTATATTAAAAAAAGACAAAAAAAAAAGGCAACAATGCAATTTTTTTAGTATCACCGAAATAGACGTGCCAAATATTTCGATCCAATTCCACCTAAAAGTTGATGAAACTAGCAAACAGCAGGAGCGTGAAATTGCCGAAATCTGGTAATCCTAGCGGGCAAGGTATGGCGAAGCCAAGAGTGCAGTTAATAGGGAGTTTTCGTAGATCATTTTCGCCATCCCGCAACGCTTTCCGCAGCCCGCTATGATACCCGGAACTCTACAGTAAAGGCCATCGGCGCGCAGTCAAAGTAGCGGCTTCTTTGTTGCAAAGGCTTAGCAAAGGGGGAAACGCGGTCTACGAAAACTCCCTAACACCAGTGTTGCGGAGTGGTCACTCCAGATTTGCAATTATTCTAAAATCATTCCGCACTTTTGCTTTCCTGGAATTGAATGGGAACAAACAGTGGCGTACCAACTAGTTATCGAGCAAAGGGGCAAACCACCAAACCTCGAAGATTTCCCTGCCCCCGGATTGCACCTCTTCGACTTGTTGCGACAAATCTTGCTTACTTGGCGTGAAGCAGTAAACGGTTAGTTGGTACATATTGATTAAAAGGTTAAAAGGTGCGAACTGACGAAAAAAGACGTACACCACAGACAAGCGCCAACTTCCAACTGATTTTCGTTCTGTTTGTTGCGCCTTTTTCACCCTGTTTCAGTTCGCACCTTTTAATCAGTAAACGAGGATTTTCACCACTGAACATCAGCTTTTTTTATTGTCTTTTTGAGCAGTCAGCTCACGTGCTGGAGGCTGACCTGGACACTGTCGGTCGGTGACCGCAATCTATTTCTGATTAAGGACGAAAATATATTATTTTTTGGAAGGAGTAGCATCAACGTCTTCAGTCCAAAGGGGCACTGCGCAAGAACCTAAAATTCAGGCTGCGTGCCTTCAAAGCTCTCTTCTGGTTCCTCAGTCTTCTGCCTCCGGATGAACCGGTCATAACATAGCTCTCGGCAAAAAGGGTTTATTGCACTCGCATCCTGCTTGGGGGTTTTGGTATCGGGAAGGAGATTATCGAGGAATCTTTGGGGACGTGCGCCTCCATTGCTGCAGCTGCTGCCGATAGTTCCAGGGCTACACTGCGGACGTAGGGGCGTCGCCGTCGAGGGTCGGATTTAGGTCGAAGTCATGTCACCAGACCGTGTCTCGACGTCGTAGTCGCTATACTGCCGCGCACTTCTGTCGTCGCCCGTTCCTTTCTTGAGTCTTCCCAATGTCCTCGTGCCCCTTCCTCCCCCTTCCCATTGTGCCGCTCGCAGCGCGTCGAGCAGGCGGGAATATCTGCCTTCAATGTGGGTGGTGTGCGGCTTGAGCCCGCCGTCCGTCCTTGCTCCATGTGCAGGCCCTCGGGCCGACGCTCTCTGGGAGCGGGGTCCACGGATGAATGCCCGCCATTGTCGTCAATACCCGTAAAGTTCCGATAGAACGCCCACCCAAAATGGAGAGAGAAATATGGTAAAAAAAACATGGAGTGGGCTATCTTTGGGGATGCCACAGCAAAACTTTATAAAAAAAATCATGATAAACTGGTACTGGCTAAAAACCACGTGAGGCGAGAACTGATGCCGTAGATCGCGGACACCGAAAATTTGCATTTTACGGTGCGATAAACGCGGGAATTCGCTACAAACTCCTGTGTCACGGGAAACGATACCGCAGGTTGCGGACACAGTGGATTTGCGTTTCACGGCGCGAAGGACCCGCCTAAACCCGCGGAGAACTCGTCTCACGGAAGCGAATACCGCGCAAGTCGCGGACGCAGCCGGTTCAAGTTTTATGGTGCCACAAACACGCGGGAACCCGCTACAAACGTAGCTGCCCCGGGAACCGATATTGTGCGCGCAGATCGCAAGAAAAAAAAAAAAAAAAAAGAAAAAAAAAAAACGCGGGAATTTGTTACAAAATTTTGTGTTTCGGGAACAAATACCGCAGATCGTGAACTCCGCAGAACCGTGCTTTACGATGCAATATACACGCGGGACAGACTCGCGTGGAATCGAGATCACGTGCGCAGATCGCGGACAAAAACGCGGGAATCCGCTACAAACCCTATGTCACGGCCCGGGAACGAATACCGCAGATGGCGGACGCGGCAGATTCGCATTTCACGGTGCCCATACACGGGGGTACAACCCGCGTGTTACGGGAGCCGATATCGCGCGCGCACATCGCGGACAAATATGCGGGAATTCCCCGCTATGGAACTCGCTTGTCAGACGTGCCGGTACAGCAAATTGCGCGGCTGATGCGAATCCCGCGATTCCCGTCGGACATCACGCGACGGGAATCGGGGGGTAGGCGATGTTTCGGAATTTTTATGTTACAGATATTTTGCCAGAAAACTGGGATGGGCGATCTCTCGGGGGCGGGCGTTCCTCTTGCTTGATTTTTTTACCCTTATTCCCCAACCACACCAGAGTAGCCAGTCAGGAGATACCCCCGGCTAATTTCTCTGGCCTCATTACCCACTAAAAAAAAAAAAAAGGTTAGATGGGAGTACAAGGTATAGAGAAATGCACATAAAATTTAATTTATAGCACAATTTTAATAAAAGGTAAATATTTATAGAGGGTAAAGCAAATATGTATCTATTTAAGGGCTGCATCTGACGTAGTGGGCGCGTTTAGTAGAGGTCGTAACCAACGTTGGTAGTATCTAACGGCCGTAGGAGAGCCGTATATGGGGAGAGTTTGGTTAGTCTGTCAGTGGTCAGTCTAATGATCTCGCCGCCCTAACGCTCTCCTCCCGAGCGAGCCAATCAGCACGCGGCGTAGAGCGAGAGGCATGAGCGCATGCGCGTGAACTCCCGGCTGCTCCCAGCTGAGTGGGGAGGGCCGCCATTTTCGTTCATTCTCAAGACGGAATGCATGGGATCGGCATCTAAATCTTGATTATTTCCTTTTATAAAGCTGGCTCTGGCAAGAAAATTATATACTGTTATTCCTCGGTGGATTAAAAAGCTAACAAATGAAGTTTTCTCGACGTACAGCCACATACTTTTATTCAGGCGAAAAAGAAGTCGGCCCGTAGCAGACGACGCGTAGCATCAGCAGTGCTCTTCTCCGACCAGTCTCCGACAGCGTTGCGAAAAAATGGCGGTCGTCTCCCCTCTGCTTTTTTCTTTCTCTCTCGCTCATTCGGCGCTCTCCTCCCTTTAGTTTACTTTTCTCCTCTCCGGCGCCTTCGTCGCCACACCCACTGGCCAAACTCTCCCAATATACGGCTCTGGGCCGTAGCGGCTCATAGCGACTCCCTCAACTCCGAACGCCGGACAGCCATCTTGCATGTCGACCCTTTGGAGCGTAGCAGAGGCTGGGCGGCAGCGTGCTGATGACATGTTTTATGCTCGTTCGGCGTCATTCGCGGAAGCAGCTTTTTTAAAAACCTTGTGTACCGTCGTAGTTGCCTTTGAGAGGACGTGGAAATTTTTATGAAAGCGCAGCACCGCAGGAAAAAGGCAGAACGCGTCGAACGCAAGTCTCGCGGCGTCATCAAAGCACATGCCTTTGCATGCCGAAGTGCCGCGTCTCTGCCTTTGCACGCTTGGATACCAATCAACATTCGACGCCGTGTGGATGATTTTAAAGGTGTGCCGCCCGTCGAGGTTTATGTGCCTCTGGAACAGCGTTTTACTTTACTCTGACGACCGTATTTGTAACTTTCGGCACTCGCGGGCCAGAAACGAGTTTGATTTCGTGCCGACGGAACAATTTCAATTCGCTCCCATTCCTTACAATAAAAATAGTTATTTTTTTAACTTATCATAACTTTGACAATTAGCAAGATTATTTCAAAAAAAAAATAAATAAAATAAATTCAAATTATCGTATTATAAAACAGCTGTTTTTGTTTGCTAGTTTATTCATGTCAGTGTCAGAATATTGGAAATTATTGTAAACTTCTAAACGAGGACGAATGCGCTCTTTATTAGGCGAATTGGCCTCAGGAGCTGCAGTCAAATGGAAAATCTCGTATATCTTGTATTTTAAAATTGTGCTCGTATGAACTTTGATGCTTTCTCAAAAATTTGCGTGAGGTGCCTCTGAAACATATTTTCGTACAGATTTGATATCTTAGACACTACAACATTTGCCATAATAATGGGAATCGATTCTATTTAATATATACAATCATAACAAGTTTCTTATGCCGAAGAATAAAACGTGCACTTCTATTAACTTGGATACTATCCCTAGTGGCAATGCATAAAAAAAATTATTCGACTGATGAATCTGTAGATAACACGTCATCATCTTGAAATGTTGCCACAAAAATATCGGTATATGACAGGATGTAGTAGTAGCATGGCAAATTGTTAAAAGAGTAACATTTCGGTGTTATGGCCATATTTGTATATTAAAAGAAGACTGAACGTAGGAAAAAAAAAAATAACGACGAAAATAATCCCTGAATAGGAGGAACAAAGGGGACTAAGGACAAACACAAATTTCCAAACACAGCTGGTGCGCGTCGAAAAAAATTCGCCTAGTCCGGGTTCGATACCCGGACAAGGCGTATTTTTTCGGTCGCGCACCAGTCACCTATAGCTGTGTTTGGAGATTTGTGTTTGTCCTTTGTCCCCCTTGTTCCCCTTTTACAAGGATCATTTTCGCCGTTCTTGTCCAGCTCGATTGCCCCTTTGCAATTAATTGCTTGATATTTAATAAAAAGGTTTTCTACTTGGTTAGGACAAGTATGTCTCAAAATAACTGCTCGTAATTTTTTTCCCCCCAATATTTATGTTACGATACAGATTTCTTGATTTTCGGGCGAAACCGAAATGGTGTCCACACGGGATGATT